ACACACACACACACACACACACACACACAGCATCTCTGCCTCAGTCTGCACCCGTTTTTTACACCGGGCAAAAAAAATGCATTTAAACCAGCTGACGTTAACTTTAGAGCACAGTTTGAAATGTACACTGAAGAAAACCTGCTTCACCAATTTTATACTGCAGTCAGACCAAATGTGACATGAGCAGCGTCTGTCTGGTTCACATGGTGGACGGCAGCTCTTTACTCGCTCTTACGAATGTAACAGCAAGAAAAGACCGAGAGCTTTTTTATTTTAATCCAGCAGGGAGAACAAAAGAGGTATTTTTCTATGCCTCCTGTGAGCAGTTCCAGCATTTTTTTAAAAAAGAAAAACGTGGCCACGCTAATTACAGCCGAACAGGCAGGGAGGGGGTGAAAGTGAAACTAAAAACACACAGCTGTTCTCTCCTCCTCATATTCCGACACAGAGAGCAGAAACAGCTAAATTAAAACACATTAAAAGTCACTCACCCTTATTGTTGTTGCACTCACAACATTACCAGCTGCTCTCTCCCAGGGAGGGGGCAGCAACATGGGTTCGCGTGACTCAAAAGAATGGATCAGCCGATACTGATACAAGCAAAAAACGCAAATATCGGCAAAAAATATCGGCCAGCCGATGTATCGGTTGACCCCAATTAAAAGTATTGAAGATATTGTAACTTGTTTTTAATTTAGAAGCAGGTGTAGGTGTCAGAGTTCTTATAAACACACAAGTTTGTATTTCTATCCTTTTTTAGACCATGGTATTGACTTCCATTCATTTACAGTCATTTCTAGAGCCTAACCCTGACCCTTACCTTAAACCTAAAATTTTAGGTTGAAATTTGGTGAGGTGGTAACCAAGAAGGATCTCCATCACCTATCAAGCCAAATGAAAAATCCAAGATGGCCACCATTGCTAAAACGCAAAATAGACCCAAACTTAGCCATTTTTAGACATATTTGGCTCAGATTTGAGATGGTGGTAGATAAATAACAGTGATTTGATTAAAAAAAAAAACAGTAAATTCAAATCTTTAAAAATCTTGAATTAAATTGAATTAAATTAAACCCTTTCATAGTTTCCCCAGGAACAATTCTAGTTTTTATATACTATATCAACATATATATCAACATATTTTAATACCACGGTATAAC